AAAAAAAAAAATGAAGTCCCAATCAGACTTCCCCATCCCCCAACCCCCAGCACATATGATGAAATCATGGTCCCTGTTTTAAGTGGATTCCTTTTTTTGGAGAGATTTTTGCTATAGGGTGCGTGCACCGCCAGACAGAGACAGAAAGCGAGAAATCACCCCCCAAGGTGGATGGTCACGCCGCAATCCCTTCTCCTCCATTCTCCTCTCGGGATCTTGGGCACGCACGCACACGCGCCTGGTGTGAGTTTAAGCCACCGGGTTCGGGACTAGAACCGCAGTCAGCTACATGGGAGTCCAGCGACATAGCCATTACGCTAACTGTTGGTCCCTTAAGTAGATTCACTGTAGGTGAGCTTTTTCTGGTGGCAGTGCTCCTTGGGACATGCAGACTCTCCTCTCAGGTGCCAAGGAGGAACGCCGTGCTCAGGTCTGGCATATGAAGGAAAATATTCCCTACAGTTGTCTGATCCTTACAGGAGCTAATGTACCCCAGGTGACAGCTGGGGCCCTTATCTCTCACCCCCCTAAGAAGTCACCGGATAGGAAAGGAGCTGTGTTTGGTTCGTCTTCAGCCATCATCCTCAGCTGGGGAGGAACCAGCATAGGAAAACCCCCAATCCACATTCTCAATACCCTCAATGGCTGGGTCTGGCAATCCCCCCAGGACACCTGCTGGGTGTTAGTCTTGGGATGCAGAGAAGGAAGCATACCAGCAGAAGCCAAGAACTCAGCTGTGGGACCACAGGGCCTTTAATCCTGTGAAGAAATTCTGAAGTTTCAAAGAATATTTCCAAGGGTTCTAGCCAGCGAAGATAAAACAGAGTCATAAAGTACGCTTGCTTAAGAGCCTCTGTGTACACTTAACGTCTCTGCCCATTATAAATAAACATGTACTGCTTACAGATGTGAGCATGTCAAAGCCTAGAAGAAATTTCAATAAACTCAATTTTACACATGAGGACACTGACGCCCTAGGCCGAGGGCTGGCAAACGTCTTCTGTGAAGGGCCAGGTGGAAACTGTTTACATGTTGCAGGCCCTACTACGGTCTCTGTCGCAACTACTCAACTCGGTCACCGTGGCACAAAGACAGCCACAGACAAACTGTCGACAAATGGGTATGGTTATGTTCGGATGAAACTTGATTACGGACACTGAAATGGGAATTTTACAGTATTTTTCACATGCTGCAAAAAATATTCTTCTGATTTTTTTCAACAACCGAAAATGTAAAAAACCATTCTAACAGGCTACTCCAAAACAGACAGTGGGCGGGACCGGCCTTCAGGCAGTGTGCTGCCCTGTCCGAGGCGACTCGAAACGAAACCTCACGGCCTAACGCAGACCCCGCCGGAACGGCATGTTTGTTTGCTCTATGCTCTGCCCGTTCACATCAAGGGCCCAGGTTCTGTTCACCACACAATGTACAAGCAGCAGCTCTGTTAATGTTTTCTAAGTTCTAGGAGTAATATTACGATCTGCCAGAAACATAAGCCAGGCCACATTCGAAAGAACACTGATGGAACACCATCTTGTGCATTAAATAAAAACGATCAAGAGAAAGTAGAACAAATTTGAGAAACTCACTGAGGTTGAAAAATAGGCTTTATTTTAACCAGTGGTATTGTCTGACATCCTATACGGCATAACTGATTACAGCCCAGTTTATGGATACAAATCAAGGAGCAGTTCCCCTCATTCTCTCTCGTCTTCTGTTCCGAGAAATCAGGGGGTGGGAGCATTATGCTCAGAAACCAAGGAGCTCTTCCTCGAGCTCCAGCTTAAGAGTCCAGGCTCCTGCAGCACGCAGCCTCCTAACACGTATGTGGTCACATGTGCAAAGACCTTTATTAGAAGATATTCAGAGCAGTATCTGTAGGACATCACACTAGCACGTACAACCCAGCCTGGCTGGTAAAATGCATCTTGTGGGGGAGGTGAGGATTCGAACTGCATGTGAAGGAGACGAGGCCTTTACATTCGCTTTCCTTTCGAGACGGGGAGAATCCCGGGTGAGGTGGAACCCCCGGCAGCCTGCCTCCTTCCTCTTGCTCCAGTTGATTCAGGAGTCCGACCCGGCCCTCAGGAGTGCATGCCTCACACACTGAGAGAGAAATGGAAATGCCTTGGCCCACAGGAAGCCTGTCGCCGAGCCAGTGCTGGAAGCAGCTCTACACTTTCTCATCACACGAAGGGCTTATTTAAATACATGGGCCCTCGCGTGGCACGCACTGCCTCAAGTTCAGAAAATTATGAAGACAACTCTTCTCCACCCCTGAGGATATTTCATCTTTATAAATCGAAAATACAAAATATTAAAATAATTTGCCCTTTCTCCCCATCAAAAGGAATCACAGTCTCAAAGGATTCCTACAATATACAAAAATTCAGAAACAAAATTCGTTCCTCCCCAAACCGAGACTGAGAAATCAGTGCCAAGCTGCCAAGAAGACACATTTTCAAAGGGGGGGGGGAACACACCTTGGGGCTAGTTTTTTCTTTTCTTTTTTACAACCATATTTAGAGAAAGATAGCAAAAGGAGTTTCCGACCTCGTGAGCTTTTATTTTGCACTTTGATTTTCAGCATTTCTTAGCACTGGTTATTAGGCGTGAAGAGAACAATCTGTTTTCCAAAGTTTAGGGTATTTCTGGGAAAAGCCCTGGTATTTCCCATGTTAGCTCCCTCAAAATAGTGTGTTGAAAACCAAACGGCAAGAATGAAAACGGTATGTACACCAGCGGGTCCATTTTCTCACGGTTTTCACATCGAAAGCACCTGGAATATCGATTGTGTCCAACACGAAACAGCAGTGGGGGGCTGAGGCGCAGGTCGTGTCGCTTGTCCATGGGAGCAGCTCAGGTGGCACGGGACCCGACTACCCAAGATGACCTCACTGGCAAACCTGCCTGCCACCGGGGCCTCCCGAAGAGAACAGGACAAGCAGTTGTGCATGCTCGGATAGCAAGACGTGCAAAACACACCCTCACTCTGCTGGAGGACACGGGAGGACACGGGCGTACACGGACGGCCTGAACCTGCTCCTGACTACGGGGCCGACGCTCAAGAAACCTGTGTACCGAGGGTGAGGGGTAAGTGGAGAAATGGCACAACACCTGGGGGTGAGGGAGAGACACACGCGTACACGCATGCGCACACATGCACACGCGGCCCCTCCGATGGCTGCCCGGCTCCTTCGGGCTCCCAGGCGGCTGGCGGACAGCCCCATCTACTTGCCTGGCTCAGAACGTCAGCAGCTGCAGTCTTAACTCCCTACACTTCCTTCTCTCCTTTTAAGGCACAAACATATTTACAGTTTCAAATACACCTGTCAAATTCTGAGAACCACAATAAGCAAGTTCATCGTGGGCTAGCGCACAGAAGCCGGGGGTCCTTTGTGGCTGGATGCATTGCTAAGGACGGCTCCAGACCTGAAGCAGCCAGAAGGTGTGAGCCTTCTCCCTGTGCCGCTGTGGCACGTGGTCAAGTCCACCCCCCACCATCATCAAGGCGGGGTCACGGGAGAGGCCGAAGTGGCAAAAGCACGACTGGGTCGGGGGTGTTTACTATTTCTTACTTGCAATGAACATATCCCTAACAAACGGCAGCTCGTCTGCTTGGGCTGATCCTCAGGAGGAAGAGCAAGCAGAGGCTGGCGTGGAGCATCCGTGGCTCCATGGAAAGCCACCGTGATCACGGTTCGCTCATGTTCTTCTTTTACCCTCCCACAAAGACAAACACGCACATGCACACACACACATACACGCACGCGCGCACACACACCCCTTCCACCATGGAGGAAATCTTTGCAACAAGAGGCACTTGAATGATATTTGGAGAGTTCCCATGGAAAGGCCTTCCCCTCACAGTGAAGTGGGGTCAACACGACAGAAACCAGGTGCTCAGGACTCCATCTCTTCTTGGTCAAGGGGTGGTGGCACAAAGCTGATGACTTCATCATAGGTGAGGCCTAGAAATTGGGAAGGGAAAGGAAGAAGTGAGAGTTCAGACTGTTCTCGACGCTGGCAGGCGCTCTGACTTCTCAGCTCAGGACCCCTCCTTCTTGCCCAGGGTAGTAGTTTGATGGGCTGCTTCACACAACTGCTTCCTTTGTCGCTTGTGTGTGCTGTCCTAATGGATCACACGATTACACAGAAGTTCGAGCCTACATACTAAAAACAATATTTTTGTTTCTCTCATCTGAGCGCCTCTTTAAAGCTCTCTGGAGAAGAACAAAACACTGTCACAAGCTGCAGCAACGGGGAGTTCTGGCTTTTGAGATTTAACTAGAATCCTAAACTTGCGTTTTATGGAAAGAAAATAAGATTGGGCAGATAAGGCATTTCCTGGCTGTGTCCCTAACTAGGTCTAAGGACACAGAGAGGACATAAACTCCCTCTGCTCCAGTTCCATCAACTGCAAAACTTATTCTAAGTATAAAA